GCCTTTAGTAACCACCATCCTGTGTTCATATTGTTTTTTAAGTTCCCACCGGTGAAGGAAAACATGAGGGACGTAGTTACATGATGAATGTTTGTTACCAAATCAGTGCCCTGCAAAGAACAATGACTTTAGTTCTTTGCCGTCATGTAAGTCCCAATGGAAGTCAGGGAAATCAGCATGTCACAGTGGTAAGAGTGTTGAATCCAGACTTGTGGTTCTTAACATTTTTTCTGTTAATACAAAAAGAGCAGATTTCATGTATTTCACAAGCACAATTCTAATCTTCCCTCCTTCTCCCTGTCTCTCACTCAGCCTCCTCCTTTTCATTGTTTTTTTCCCCTTCAGTTATTGCAAAAGCAGGGTTTGAATTCAATATTCTCAACAGGACTTATTCATCTACTAATTATTTATTCTGTAACTTCTATGGACTCAGAGGTTGTGTAGTAAGACATAACAATCTCTGTTTTCATGAATGCCAGAGTGTGGCATAAATGTACGGTTGACTCCAATCTCCACCAGAAAATCACAAGGATCAAATCCAACTTTCCTGAAAAAGTTTCTCTTAGTCCATTCGGAGTGATAAAACAAAGTACTACACACTGGATGGGGCAGTGGTGGGTACACTATAGAAATGTGTTTCTTACAGCTCTGCAGGCTTAGGTTCAAAATCACTGAGCATTGCCCAAATCTTTAAGTTCCTTTTTCATTAAAAAAATTTAATATTTTCTTGTGTTTATTTTGCTATAAGCTTTTTTCCCCCTTTCCAATGAGTTGTTTTAATTCCAGGTGATACAGAATTTCAAGAACAGAGACCACAGAGCAGCCTCAGGCAGGATTCTCAGCTGGGTCTACGTTCTATGTGCAGCTCAGAACGGCTGGATGAAAACAATTTAGGAGACAGTGAGCTACCATACAGTGGTGGTTCCCCCGACCTTCAACTCTAACAAAAGTTTATTTGTAAATGTACAATGTGCTTCAAGGTGACACTTCATTCTAACTATGGGCGGCTAAGACACTCCAGCCGGGACTCCAGATGTTGAGACATGTGCGGGGAGTCGAGGGCACAAGGAGCAGCTTACTTTATGCCAGATTTCTTCTTTCCACCTGTGGCCAGGGGGCCCTTCCCACAGCCTTCGCTTTCAACTCCGCCGGTTTCTTCTGGTCCTCTTTCTGTTTCTGCTTGAAGGCTTTAACCTCCTCTTCCATCTCCTTTTCTTGGTTCTTGGGTTCTTTCAGGGGCTTCTTTTTGTCACCTTCCCAGCCAGACGTGGCACCTGCAGCCCCTTTCCCAGACCCTGCCTATTTTGCTATTAGCTTTTAAGAGTAGCCGAACCACAGTTGCAATGCTTTGCTTCAAAATTTTCTCTGTCGGATAACCCTTTCCTTGCATCTCCAGAACACTCAGGCACAGCCATAATCCAACCATTCTGTTTTCCACATTACCAGAGCAAGAACCTTTCCTCTAGTTTTCCTGTCATGTTCATCATTTTTATCCAAGACTTCTTCGTGATGGTCTTACCACCTTTATTTCTGCCAGAATCCTGTTTACAATTGCTTAGATATTCTCTAAGAAGACTGCGGCTTTGTCTGCAGTTTTCACTTATCCTGAACTATACCCAGAAATTTCTATTCAGGTGGGTCCATTGCCCATTTATAATTATTTGTTTTTCTTACTGTTGAATTGAGGCATGCTTTTCTTTTTGCCTGTTTTTCATATTAATTTCCTCTCTGATATAGGGTTTACACATATTTTCTCCAAATTCATCGATTTTTCTTTTTCGTTCTTTTGATTATTTCTCTTTTTATGTAGGAACTTTTTGTCTGATACAATATCATTAGTCTGACTTTTTTTTTTTTTACTTTTTAAGTTCATATCTTTAAAAAAAATCACTGCTCAAATTATAAAACATTGCCTGTTTTCACTTCTAATAGTTTTATAAGTTTAGGCTTTTACATTTCAGCATTTAATTCATTTTTGGACAATTTCCTTATAAGTGTAAGATAAGAGTCCACTTTCATTCTCCTTATGTGTGTATATCCAAATTTCCTAATATAAGACCATTTGTTTGACTTTGTATTTTACCGATCACTTACCAGTCATAGATTGGTAATAATAAATATATAGGCTGATATCTAGTTTCCCTATTCTGTTCCGTAAGTCTAGAAGGGTTTATGTTTTATGCCAGTCCTGGCAATGGGCAGTGCTGGAATAATCAGGGCTGTGTATGTGGATAACTAATTGGAGCCACACCAGGGAATATGCTCCAATAAGGGGGATACTTCTTAAGAACATTTAACAGCGTTGATTTGGGATTTGAAATGCTCAAATTAATCAATGAGATATTCTGGGAAAAAATGAGTAAGTCTTTCCTAATTGACTTTCTTCTACTTGGAAGCGTAGATCAACCATTCCTCCCATCAGCACTCTATCTAGTTACCATCCATGGCCTGTGTACAGCAAATAGGAAGTCAACGGGTAATTACAGAAGTCATTCTCTTGAAAGGATTGTCTAACCGTATGTTTGGAAACCTCCAAAATGTAAGTATACATCAGAAAATAACCAGGAGGTATTCACCCAGGAGATCTCTAAATATACTTAAGGAGATTAGAAACAGGAGTTTTGGAAGTGTGAGTCATTTGGGAATTCCCTCAACCAAAATAAATAAATAAATAAATAAATAATAAGAAGGGAAGCCTTAAAATTTGTTAGAGTGAAAATATCATTCACACATACACATACAGATAATGGAATTATATTGCATATAATGGAATATATTTATAATGCAATTATATATATACTAGAATATTATTCATATGGAATGGAATTCTGTCATTGGCTTCAATATTGGTCCAATTATATTTGAAAGCAACAATTAAAAAAAAATGAAAACTCCTCAGGCCCAGCGCCATGGCCTAGCGGCTTAAGTCCTCACCTTGAACATGCCAGAATCCCATATGGGCGCCAGTTCTAATCCAGGCAGCTCAGCTTCCCATCCAGCTCCGTGCTTGTGGCCTGGGAAAGCAGTCAAGGACAGCCCAATGCTTTGGGATGCTGCACCCGTGTGGGAGACCTGGAGAAGTTCCTGGCTCTTGGCTCCAGATCGGCACAGCACTGGCCATTGCCGCTCACTTGGGGAGTGAATCATTGGATAGAAGATCTTCCTCTCTGTTTCTCCTCCTCTCTGTATATCTGACTTTGTAATAAAAAAAAATCTTTAAAAAAATTTAAAAATTAAAAATCCTAAACCAGAAAAAAAATTGTTAGAATGAATAATAACTCTGGAGAACTGGATTCAATAAACATTTATTGATCACTTATTGAAATCAAAGTCAGTTCACGCATCATTTATTACTCGGAGTAATCCTATGATTTACTTGTTTTTCTATTAGAAAACTCAAAAAAGATGGAAGTTGCTTCAAGATACACAATGTGAAAGTAGGAAACTCACCACAGCTGTGGGCAATGGCCTGGGTTGCATTGTACCTAGGCAAGTGTTACACTGCTAGGAGAAAAGCAGTTAATAGCTGATGGGCATCCTGGGCCTGGTTAATGTCAAATCTATGTTAATCATACCAATATGCCAACATCGTTGCCTAGAATACTCTATTTATTTGTCTAAATATATATGGGGGTACCAGGTCCCGGGGACATGGCTGGGGGTCCAGCAGAGCCTGGGTTACCTGGCCTTGGCTCTTTGACCCACCTACATGGTAAGTGCTGGGTCCATGAGCTCCAGGGACCGGTAGTCCAGCAGGACCCAAGTAAGCTGGCTTGGGTCCTTAGGCCCACCAGCACGATGGGTTCTAGGTTTGTGAGTCCTGGGGTTGGGGCATCTGGCAGATCCAGGTCAGGTGGCCCAGAGCACCACTGGCACCTCAGGTGAAGCCCACTGGCGATCTGGCAGTATGCTTGTGGGGGCTTGGTGTGTGGGGTTGCAGGGGGTTTGGAGGATGGCACGGGTTGGGCATGTGGGGAGATGAGGGCTCATATCCAGGATTGGTGGTCTGACAATAGAGTACATGTGTTGGAACTGGGCCTCCTCAGAGAAAAAGATGGAACAGTGGATGGCACACTCAAAGGCACACAGAGGATATGGCAGTCCATTGGGGCTTGTAGAGGATATCTGGTACCATAGCAGAGAAAGGAGGACAGATGAAATCAGACAACTACTGCAATCAACAATGACAGCAAATATCTGGGGGAATGGAGACTCTAAGGTAGACTATGTCAGCCAATAGACACTGGAAGGATTTCCTTATCCTTGGATCAGTGAGATAGAACTATCTAAACCACCTAAGCAGAAGCCTTGGGACCATGAGTTGATATTGGGTCATCGTTCCCCATCTCTGGGTATTGTGGCAGTTGGGAGGCTGGGTGTAGCTTCTCTCCTTATCTGCCCCTTCTCCCAGATATACGAAGAAGAAAAAACAAAATTTGGAAACAACGGTCTCACCCACTTTCCCCGAACCCTTAATCCTTCCCACCCTGATCAACTATGTAACCATTATCAAAAATAAAAAGTTGAAAAAAGAAAAAAGGTGAACTCAGGATCTTGATTTCTAACTCCTAAGTCCAGATCTTGGGTTTTTGTTATCCTAAATCTAAATAGCAGAACTGGTGTGTGTGGTTTTAGACTAATACAGTCAAATCACTTTATTTTACAATTGAAAAACCAACACTTGGACTCATTCAGTATTATGTAGCTGTCACACCATTCATTAATGCCAAAGGCAGCACTGGAACCCCAAGGTCCCTTCTTTTTTCTCATGGACAGAATCAGAATACTTCCTTCATACTACTGGGCCTCATGAATCCCATATTTTTAGGCTAGAGCTCTCTTCTAGATTTCCTGAATGGCTTCAGCTAAAAACAAACATTTAGACTTTCACTTTATATATATACAAGTCCTCCATGTGCAGCTTCTGTTAAATATACGGCAAATCCAAACAAGAACCATCTTGAGAGTGGGTGGAAGAAAGCAGAGTATGCGCCCTTCGGAAAGATGACTAGAAGTTAGAAATTATATTATCAATTTCCGCTTTATCCTTGAAAGTCAACCTGCATTTCAAAGTGTGATATCGTAATGGTCATGCATTGGTTATGATTCTGAGAAACCAATGTATTAATATGTTCTTTAAAAACAAAATTTAGAAAACAGAAACATGACATCAAAAAGTCTTGTTTTCAAGGGAGCTACAGTGGTTTGGGCTCTCAGGAGACCAAGTGCCAGCTCTCAGTCCAGAGTCTTGCAGGTCCTGAGAAAAAGCTTTGATATTCTTCTGAGCAGTTTCTCCAGTGCCCCCTTCATGTCCCTGTTTCTCAGGCTGTAGATGAATGGGTTCAGCATGGGGGTCACCACTGTGTACATGACTGAGAAGACTCTGTCCTTCCCACCTGAGTAGGTTGATGGGGGGCATAAGTAGACTCCAATAGCTGTGCTGTAGAACAGAGAGACCACAGAGAGGTGGGACGTGCAGTTGGAGAAGGCCTTTCGCTTACCTACGACAGAGTCAATTCTCAGGATAGCCAGGGCAATGTAGAAGTAAGATGTGAGGATGCAGACAAAGGGTCCGATCAGCAATGATCCTGCCACAAAGGTGAGTACCAGGTAATTAATGTAAGTACTGGAGCAAGCCAGCTTCAGGAGTGGGACCAGATCACAGTAGAAGTGAGGGATGATATTGGGACCACAGAAGGAAAGTCTGGTCACTAAAAGGGTATGCACTAGAGCATGGAAGGCAGTGATCACCCATGACCCAGCCACCAACAGGACACAGCGCTGGGAGTTCATGATTGTGGTGTAGTGGAGAGGATGGCTGATGGCCACATAGCGGTCAAGTGCCATTACAGCCAGGAGAAAGTTGTCTAGATTTGCAAATAGGCCAAAGAAATAGAGTTGTGTCAGACATCCAAGATAAGAAATCAGCTTAATTCCTGAGCTAATATTATCCAGCATATTGGGAACTACTGCAGAGATGAAACCTATGTCAGAAAAGGACAAGTTAGCCAAGAAGAGATACATGGGTGTGTGGAGATGCAGGTCTGAGCTGATGGCCAGGATGATGAGCAGGTTTCCCACCACAGTGACAACATACATGGCCAGGAAGAGCCCAAGCAGGAGGGGGCGCTGCTCTGGGCGCTCAGAGAAGCCCAGGAGAAGAAATTCATACAAGTTGGTGTGGTTTCTTCTGTCCATGTCTGGAATTCTGTGTGAGATAAAGTTTGTTATAAATAAACAGCATGAAAGTAAGATAAGACTGTGTTGAAGGCACCCCCCCCTCGTCGTTATTTTTAAAAATCCTTTGGTTTTGAGAATTTTCATTTGGTAAAGCTTAAATTTACAACTTACAGTTTTTATAATTTGAAATTGCATATTTAAAAACATAGTTAGGATCAGACAATTTTTAAGCTATTGGAATAAGGCAGCATATAGAAATGTGTTCTGGAGTGCATGTATCTTATCAGGCTATGCCAGGATTCAATGACTAATCATATAATTAAGTGAATAGTGCAGTAAGTTAAAAAAAACTCAAAGAGAAGAACAGTGTGAATACATACAGTTCCTTTTTAGTAAGTATAAACATATAAATATTTTTAGGTAAGAATACTGAAAGGTTACACCTGAAAAAATAAAAAAATGTTTTCTTGTTGGACAGCGTGTGTGAATTGAAAAATCAGTTTCTCACCAATGCATGTTATCTTTGTCATCGAAAGACAATTTTTATCATCATATTTGAATCTAATTTGTTTTCTTAAGATGTACTACTAGTGAATAGTAGTACATCATGTCTATATCAGGAAGCTTTACTTCTAAGGACAATGGAGGTGATTGGTTGAATGAATCCTAAGGTTGGAGGTTGAATGAATCCTAAGGTTGAATGAATGAACAGAAGTTGGTGTGGAGATCTGGGGAAGCCAGCATCTGACAGGTTAACCAGGAAGGAATCTCTGAGAAGCAACTTTGACATGTAGGAGGAAGAGCAAAAGGCACATGACTGACTCCCGGTGAGGACAAGACGAAAATGTAGAGCAGGAACACAGACTCTTCAGCGTAGACCCTCTCAAATATTCCTACTTTCTACAAGCAAAGGTACAGGAAACGTCTAAAATACTGCTCCCATTTCCCCCCAACATGGCTGCTCCTCTTCTGGACCCCTGGATTTTAAAAATCCAATCTTTAGAGCATCTATCCCTGCACCTGTTTTGTTTGCTTGTTAGATTTCAACTATCTTTAAAGTAATTTTTACTATATATTTAAGATTTACAACATGGTAAAATACGCATAAGAGGGAACTTCTAAAAGTTCTTGGAAAATAGAACTGAAAGACTCTTCTATGAAGGATTTTCAGAATGTTCATGGAAAATGAGTTTTACGGAAAACCATGAATGGATTTAATGATTCTTGTACCAAAAGAAACTTAGCTTTATAGAATCCTTGCGTTTAGTAAAATAGTTACGATACTGGATCATCTCACATAATGTCCTGTGAGCCTCTTACTCCTACATAGGAAGAGCAAGTACAATCTACTCAGCAAAAGTCCCAAATATAAGACATCACTGCTAACCACAGCCATGGTAATATAGATTAGACTGTTTCACGCTACAGAAGTGACTCTATCTTTTAACCTGCATCTCTCTATTTTATCCTCTTCACTTCAACCCTAGTAACTATTGTTTTACTCTCTATTTCTGTATATTTGAATTTTATTTTTTGCTTTCACAGAGGTGATATCATGTGATATTTTTCTTTCTGTGTTTTGTTTATTTCACTTAGTGTAATGTCCCCCAGGTCATCCATATTGTGACTAATGATATGATCTCTCCATCTTTTACGACCAGATGCTATTTCATTGTGTATGTATGTGTTTCCTAATGCATTTATCCATTTATGGACATGCAGGCTATTCCCATTACTTTGACTATCATGCAATAATGCTGTTAATTAATATGGGAACACTGATGCAGGCTGGTGATTGCATTTCCTTTGACTCTACAGGTCTCCAGGAAAGAGATTGCTGGGTCATGTTTTGGTTTAATTTTAATTTCTTTAAGAACTTCCACACCGTTTTTCATAATGGCTACAGCAATCTATGATATCACTAGTATTACACAGGGTTTTCTTTTCTTTCCATGCACTAACCAAGTTTTAGTGTCTTCCTTTTTTGATAATAGCCATCCTAGTAGTTATGAGGTGATAACTCATGGTTATTTTGGTTTGCATTTTTCTGATGAGTAATTCATTTGGATAGCATTTCATGTACTTGCTGAACATTTTTACATCTTTTTTTTATATTTACATCACTTTTACAAAATGTTTATCCCTTTTTACAAAAATGTCTACCCATTTTTTAAACTGGGTGATATGTTTTCTTGTTATTGAGTTGCATGAGTTCTTTGTAAACTGTGAGTTTTAATATTTTATATATAGTTTGCAGATTTTTTTTCAATATATATACTTTTCATTTTACTGGGTTTTTTTTTTTTTTTGCTTGGCAAAAGCATTTAAGTTTGATGAGGTGCCAATCATTTACTTTTGCTTTTGTATTCTGAGCTTCATAGGAGTCTCAAACACTTAATATCAACCTTAAAATAAGTGCCTCTCAGTGTTAGGAGCCACTTTGGCTCATCTTGTTTCTTCTGGATAAAATGATAAATGTATGGGCAGACGTCATTCTGTCAGATTACTAGAGGAAAACATCAGGGACACTCTCCAAGACACTGACACAGGCAGAGATTTTGTGCATAAGACCCCAGAATTACAGGCGATAAAAGAAAGGAATGGACAAATGGGATTACATCAAGCTAAGAAGGTTCTGCACAGCAAAGGAATCAACAAACAACCTACAGAATGAGAGAAAATATCTTCAAATTATACATCTGCAAAAAGATTACTACCTAAAATTCATGAACAGCTCAAGAAACTCAGCAATAAGAAAGTGAACAATCCAGTTAAGAAATTGGTGTTTTCGAAGGATGAAATACAAATAGGTAATAGACATATGAGAAAATGTTCAGGGTTACTATCCAACAGAGAAATGCAAATAAAAATCGCAATGAGGTTTCACCTCACCCTGGTTAGGATGGCTCTCATTCAAAAATCAAAAAATAGTAAACACTGGTGAAGATGCGTAGAAAAATGTACTCTAATATACTGCTGGTGAGAATATACATCATTACAAACACTATGGAAGACAGTATGGAGATTCCTCAGACATCAAAAAAATGATCTACCATATGACCTAGCCACCCACTCTGGGAAATTTACCCCCAAAAAGTGAAATCGGCATATGGAAGAGTTATTTGTTCTTTCATGATTATATAGCTAAGATACAGAATCAACCCAGATGTTGGATAAAACTGATTAGATAAAAATACATACACACACGTAATTATATATATATATATACATATGATAGACTACTACTCATCCATAAAAAAATTAAATCCTGTATTTTGCAACCAAATGGATGCAAGTAGAGACCATCACGCTTAGTGAATCAAACCAATCCCTAAAAAACAAATAACGTGTGTTTTCTATGATTGTGACAATTAATACAGAATACAGAAAAAAGTCAGTGTATAAGAATGGAACTAAGAGTCCCAAGCTGGTGGCCACCATGAAGAAGGCGGCTGCAGAAGATATCAGTGTTACTTTCGAAGATCAACAAAGGATAAATAAATTTGTGCGGAACACGAATAGAATCACAGAGCTAAAAGCAGAAATAGAAGTAAAAAGAAACAACTCCAGAATTTAGAAGATGCTTGTGATGATACCATGCTTGCAGATAATGACTGCTTAATGATTCCTTGTCAAATTGGTGATGCTTTCATTAGCCACTCACAAGAAGAAACACATGAAATGTTAGAAGAGGCAATGAAAAAATTGCAAGAAGAAATCAACGCCTTGGAATCCATAGTGGAATCAATTCAACAGGTGAATTCAACTTGAATATTGTTTTAAAATTGAAAAAAGAATGGAACGGAAATTCTATGATTAATTAATACTGGTCCTTGTCCCTATGCTTGTGGATCAGTAGCAGTTCTACTTCTTACTTGATGTACACTGCCATAAATACTGCATTAAGCCTATGGCAACAAATTTAATTGAAAGCATATCATTGCAGAAATTCAAGGAAGAAAGAAAAGAAGGAGGTGGGATCGAGGGAGGGATGGCGAGAGGGAAAGAAGTATGGTTATCTTAGAATTTCTCTGTGAAACATAGTAAGTCTGTTCTCTTTGTATTAATAAAGATAAAAATAAATTTTAAAAATTTACTATTTATTTGAAAGGCAGAGCTGCAGAGAGCAGTGGGAAGTAATACAGAAACAGAGAGAGAGAACTTCCAGTCATCAACTTAGTCTCCAAATGCCACAACATCCAGGTCTGCGTCAGCCTGAAACTAGGAGCCAGAACTCCAACCTGAGCCCACTCTCTGGACATCTTCTTGGGACATCTGCTGTCTTTCCAGGAGCCTTAGTAGGAATCCAGATTGGAAGTACAGAAGCCAAGACATGAATCCACACTCCTATATAGAATGTGTGCATTGAAAATTATGGCTTAATAACTGTGCCAAAACAACAGCCTTAGTACAATGATATTTAGGTTATGTCAAAATCATGATATCAGATTTGACTACAAGTGCTGCCTTTGACTTTAAGAGATAGCAAAATGGATGGCCCTTACTGAATGTCACAGGTCATCTAGCATACATTATGGGCCACAGAAAACATTCAGAATAGTATGTGAATATGAAAACAAAAACATTTCTGGATGTTGAATTAGTAAGTCCAATCAATTCCACGTTTACTCAAGTACTGAATGCATGATTTATTTATATATTTGGACTTAACATTTTAAAACATACAGAAAAAACTTATGATTCAGATTCAATCTGAGCATATCTTGTTGTGGTCTGAATGTGCTCCTTTATAAGATTTTTATAAGAGAAATTGTGCAAACATCTTGGGCTCTAGTTCAGGAAAGGCTGATCAATGCATTCCTGTTTATTGCAGGTTTGATCTTCAGGGCAGTCCCTTGTCTGACATTTACCAGCATAAAAGCCACATAACCCCTGCAACCATGAAGCATGAGATACTAAATTAAGCGATTTTTAAAGCAATATCAGCACTAATGGAAAATTACACACAAATAGGTGACATCAAACCAAAGAACGTAGGCTTTTGTAGCACAAATCGTCCTAAAAGCTGATGTCAGAAGTCTCTTAACCCTGATTCTCTCCCCGCAGGATTAAATGCCCACCTGCCAGGAGTACATTTATTATTTTCAATTCTATTACTATAAAACATATTTCATCAGCATAAAACATATTTTATGCATTCTGCAGATACAATTTCAAGAAGACAACCACACTCCCCTGACTCCCCCACTAGCAACCCAATCCCCCTTCCCTCCTATCTCTTCATCAGTTCTTGTGAAGACATAACACGCTCGTTCTGACCTCTGCAGTGCTGAGAAAGATGGCTCAAAATTTCTGGTTTTTCCAAGTTGAAATGTAACCTGCTTGACCTGATGTATTCCCTCTGTATTTCAAGTCTCCTCCAGGGGTATCGTGGAGATTTTAGAAAACTGGGATTTCAGGGACTGTGAAGTTCACAACCTGGTAAAGCAGTCCTCTGGTTGAAACCTATGTAGCCATCCCACACTTCAGAGAGGCATACGACAAAGCTCCCAAATTACTGGTGTACCACATTCAAGATCAGCTCTAGAATTCAATCCAAAGCATTTTGAAACTATTTTCCAACGGCTCGTCATGCTTCTCGTGCCTGGCTGAAAGGGGGAAAGATGGAGTGAATGACTTACTGGCCTTCCTGAGCTGAGTCAAGAGGAGTTTATCATCCCTTCATTGTCAAGGTAGCGATTTGACTGTTGGCTGTTGGTCCTCACTTACCAAGAGGGCAAACATCAAATCTAAAGGCCAGAAAGCATCCTCCCCTATATGGAATGCAAAAACAACTCCTGGAACTTGGAACCCTCACTTGCTTCAAGGAAAGAGAAATCACAGAGGATCCGCCTGATCTTATGTCAGACAAGTTGGTTAGAAACCAGGAAAAACAATTCATTAGCGTGCTAGCTCAAGCACAATCCCCAGACTTCCCTGCACCAGTGCAGAGACATCTGGGACCACTTGTCTCTCAAGGATTCATTGTGGGGAGAGCCCTGCTTCATTGCCCATTCCCAGTCCCCAAAGTATAAATGAATGGCTTTGTGACTTGTGGAAGTTTGCTCTAAGCTCTGGTGCCACCAGGTCACAGATTTAGGAAGCAAAATATTCTCTCGATGAAAATCTATTTAAAGATGAAGTGTTTATTTAAATAAGCTTTATTCATAGAAAGGGAACAGATTTCACATATTTCATAAAGATAACTTTAAGAAGATGATCATACTTCCCTCACTCCCCCACTCTTTTCCACTTTTTTATTTTTCCTTTAATTTTTGCAATAACACAACTCAATTTACATTGAAATCATAGGCCTAAGGTAGCACTAACCATAATATTCAACAAGTATAAAATACAAATCTATAGGTAACACATATACCGTCCTAGGGCATTTGTTTTTCATTTGGTTTCCAGTGACTAGTGATGTTGAGTATCTTCTTACGTATTCATGATTTCCTTCTAGTAAGTTTGACATTTTAATTAGCTTAATTGCCTTTTAATGATAACTTGCAATGATTTTGTTTCATATATTCTGTTTGCTAACAATTCATCAGTTACATATAATGTAAATATTTACCCCAATCTATGATTTAATTCCTCAATTTTCTAACACTGTCCTTGACTTTAAATTTAGTTGAAATCCAAATGCTTGTTTATTTTCTTTTATGGAGATTTCAGGAAACTCTCCTGTGTATTAAACACATTTAAAAAAATTATTTTATTCATATTTTTTATGTTAAAAAAAGGACATTAAATTAATCAGTCAAGAAGGAACATTACTCAACACATTCAAGGCGATATGACAAGCCCACAGCCAGCATCAGTGAGATTGGCCTACATTCAGAACTCTACCAACAACACCTGCTGGTGTGCATGTGGAGAGAAAATTATCCTCTTTCACTGTTGGTGGAAATGGAGGTTAGTACAACCATGTTGGAAGTCTGTATGGAGAGTGCTAAGAGAACTGAAAAATTGACCTGCTGTATGAGCCAGCTATCCGCCCAGGAATATGCCCAAAGGAAATTATATCTACATATGAGAATGGGATATGTAATTGTACATTTACAGCAGCACGATTTACAGTAGCAGACATGGAAACAACACAGATGTTCATCAAGAGGAGTAGATAAAGAAACTGTAGTACATCTACTCCATGAAATAATATTCAGCCACTAAAAAGAATGAAATTCTACGATTTACAACCAAATAGTTCCAACTAGAGACCTTTACGTTCAGTGAAATAAGCCAATTCCAAAAAAAAAAAGAAACAAATATCATATGTTCTTGCTGATATAAGGCAACCTTCATTCAAAATATAATATCAATAGCCCTTTCAATACTGCTTTTTACTGTATCTCAGGTGGGTTGATATTTTTGCTTTTATTTTCATTTCTTCAAAATACCATGCAGTCTTTCATTCATTCATTTTTAGTTGTTTAATTTTAATACATTCAATACAGTTCATAGATTTTTTCTAGCCTAAGAATATGCTATTCCCTTCCTCCATCCCTTACTTCCTTCTATTTTTCCTTGCTTCAAGTTTTTGGTTTTTTTTTTTTAAGATTCATTTATTTTCTATTATAAGAGAGGAGGAGAAACAGAGAGGAAGACCTTTCATCCAATGATTCACTCCCCAAGTGACCACAACAGCTGGTGCTGTGCCGATCCGGAGCCAGGAGCCAGGAACTTCCTCCAGGTCTCCCACATGGGTGCAGGATCCCAAAGCATTGGGCTGTCCTCGACTACCTTCCCAGGTCACAAGCAGGGAGCTGGATGGGAAGTGGAGCTGCCAGGATTAGGACCGGCGCCCACGTGAGATCTTGGCGCATTCAAGGCGAGGACTTAAGCCACTAGGCCACGCCACTGGGCCTTGCTTCTAGTTTTTGAAACAACATAGTTTTATCTTACGCAACAGTTAAAGGCATAAAGCCCCACAAAATGAAGAATTCAGCAAGCAAATAGACCCTAGCTTAGAGAGAATACAAGCAAGCCTACAAACAAGAGTTACAAGGAAAAGTGATGATTTCATCCATAGCTGTTAAATATTAATCACAGATTACTTTCATAGTATAATATTTTTCTCTTCTATTTATATATAGAGACAAAGTTTTAAGCATTTCATGTATTTAATTTTAAACACATAATGAAATTCCAGTTTTTCCTCCTTTAGCTCTCCTTCCTTTATATCTTCCTTTTAATTTTTTGTGACAATATATACATTCAATTTGCTTTTCTATCGCCACATCACTGTCTTCCTTCTGACACATATCCTCTGTTACCGGAGTGTGTGATGGACTCTGTCTTCCGGCCTCCCACACATTTCCATAATGGCCTGAGTAAGCTGTCACATTGACTAACATAACCTTGCTCAGGTTTAATCCTACAGCCAATGGAATCCTATTTCTTGCAAAGAAATATCTGGATAGGGCATCCTAGTCCTTCACAGTACAGCCTTGGTCGGCCTCAGTAGATTTATCCCCAAGACTCCCTTGACAAAAACTCACATACACCTAATAATACTAATTTTTTTACATTTTCCTGAACTTCTGATGAAGTCATGGCATTGGATAGTTTCTTCATATTATACAGGTTATATAATTGCTTTCCCTGACTTGTCTTGTCAACATCATCAATGACAAATATAGGAAAGGCACTGAATGAAAGGTGAGGAAGAGAAAGAATTTTCAATTCTGTAACATTTATTTCCTGAGGAAACTCTGTTGGCCAAAATCCTCAGTGATTGATAAAATTAATAAATTTTCATTTGGTAGACAGAAACCTAACCTCAACTGTCCATGTAGTTTCTTAGTGCAATAAGCAAGAACAATTGTTTCTTGGCCTTTTAACTAAGATTAAGTGTAATAAGCAAGTAACCAACTCGAAATTCACAGTTTACACCTACAACTTGTAGGGGGAAAAGAGAATCATCAAATATTGACTGAGAACATATTCTAATTTGAGCCCAAGACTAGGGGCCTGACATTCGGATGGGAGGATACACATCTCTGTCATAAAGAATAAGTGGAAATATCATTGAGATGAGATCTTTGCCTTGCACAAGAGCTTCTCCAGAGCCCTTTTCATGTCCCTGTTCCTTAAGCAGTAGATGAAAGGATTCAGCAATGGGGTGACCACTGTGTACATCACTGAGGCTATGGTGCCCTTGTCACGGGAGGCACTAGAGGAGGGGAAAAAATAGAGACCAATAATTGTGCCATAATACAGAGACACCACAGAGAGGTGGGAGCCACATGTGGACAAGGCTTTGCAGATCCCTTTGGCAGATGGAACTTTCAAAATGGTGGCCCCAATGCAGCCATAAGAAATCAGGATGCATATTAGCGGCAGGGTAATGACTGCCACACCCACAGTGAAGATGACCAGCTCGTTAAGGGAGGTGTCTGAGCAAGAGAGTTTGAGTAGAGCAGCCAGGTCACAGAAGAAATGGGAGATGGTGTTGTCAGCGCAAAAGGACAGCCGGGCCAGGAGAAGAGTGTGGGACAGAGCACTGGCCCAAGAAAGGATCCAGGACACAGCTACTAGGAAGGCACACAGCCCCGCTCTCAGAATGGTTGTGTACTGGAGGGGGTGACAGATGGCCACATAGCGATCATATGCCATGGCAGTGAGAAGGAAATTGTCCAGATCAGTAAAAAATATGAAAAAATACATCTGTGTTATACATCCTGCGTAGGGGATGGATCGATCCTGAGTCTGCATGTTCATTAACATCTTCGGGACAGTGACAGAAGAGAAGGCGATGTCACTGAAGGCCAAGTGGCTGAGGAAGAAGTACATGGGGGTGTGGAGGCGCGAGTCCAGCCTGATGAGCAGGACGATGAGCAGGTTCCCCAGCACCGTGGTCAGATACATGCCCAGGAACAGAGCAAAGAACACGCCCTGCTGCTCTGGGCGAATGGGGAGTCCCAGGAGATGAAACTCTGACACACTGCTGTGGTTGTCACTCCTCATCCTGTTCTTCCCTCTGCTACACAGGCAAGGGCATTGAAAAAAAAAAAAAGGAGAAACAGATGTTGACCTACAGCAGGCAGATAACAATGAGATCCTTTCTGTTTGTATGTATTCCAATGTCTGTCTGTATTGCTTTAACTCTACAAAGCAAAATTTTTAGAGTACGTAGTATTAGGAAAAGAAAGAACTTGTCAGCTGACGAGAGGTTGATTTAGAGAACAAGTTGTTTGCACTGACATTTTCAACCATATAAGGGAATGGCAACCAACCCAGCTCAAGTCATGATTTATAACTGTCTGGTTGAAAGCAGAAAGCCTCACTATGTCTTAGTAGGGGAATATTAGGTTAAAACCCTCCCAATTTCTCTGCTGTTTCTGTACTTTACAAAAAGCCTAACTGAGCTTTCAAGCTGTGACCTTTTGAATTTCTGAGGTATGACATCAAAATCCAATGCAAAGCCTAGGGAAGAAGTTTCAACACTCTATACGCAAAGGAAATTGGATCAAAGTAAGTAACCAGGTTTTCATCACGTGCAAACTAAACGATAAAAAGAAAACTCCAAACTCCTGATTCAATAGGATCTCATGGTGTCACAAAAATCCACAAACCACGGTAGAATGCTTTTATCAAGACAGGGACAACGAGGACATTCATTGTTATACCCTTTCCTCGCTTTTCAGTTTTCCCATTTTGGATTCTGGCATCTTGAATTACAGTAGCTACTAACCAACCCCAATAAAGGATATATTCAACTCCCTCCAGTCATTAAAAGTAAGTACCCTATGAATTCTGTGTCCTGAGCGGGGAAGGTGGAAGAGGAAATCTCTGAGCCTATAGCACTGTATCATTAAAAATAAAAAAAAAAAAAAATTTAGAGAAATCTGTGTCCTTTCCCAACAGCTACTGTCCTTTCTCTTTTAATTAAAAAATGTTTTTACTTACCTCCCATTGGCTGGCTTACTCCCCAGATACTAACGATATCAGGCCAAAGCTAAGGAATCAGTGCTCAGTTCAAGTCTCGCCGGTGAAAGACAGGGACCAAACTTCTTTGAGGCATCACCTGCTGCTTCCCATGGCGCACATTCATAGGAAGCTGGAGTAGGAAGTGGAGTTTGGGCTCAAGTCCAGGAGATTATGTGGGATACAGGTATCCCTTTAAAGAAGACCTTTGCTGCTGTGACAAATTCTCACCTAATTTCTTCTGTCAATAGCCACTATCTACCCAATAAAATGTTCTAGAGCCTAAAGTACCAAACCCTGTAGAAAAAGCAGAGTTTATACTTTCAGTATCTTAATTTGGAAGTTCCCTTTAGGCCAGGATCAATACCAAATGTTCACCTTCTATACATGCAAATAGTAAATAAGATGTTAGGATATCATTATGGTGGCTGTTTATAACAGAGGAAAATTTCAGAAGAGCCTTAGGCAAGGTAACAGTAGACTCAAAGTTCTTTTCTCTGAGAATGTGGAAGCTATTTCTCAACAGAAATGTAAAAGGAAAAATAAGTTATCAAAAAATGTTTAATATCACTAGTCATCAGGGCAATGAAAATCAAAGCCAACAATGAGATTTCATCTATTATCAAGCAGAAAGTAACAAACGTGGGTTGGCTCAGTGATATAGCTGACTAATACTCTGCCTGTAGTACCAACATCCCATATGAGCACGAATTCGAGCCCCAGCTCTCTCTCTGTGGCCTGGGGAGGTGTTGGAGGTTGACCCAAGTCCTTGGGCCCCTGTACTCACGTGGGAGACTGGGAAGAAGTTCCTGGCTCCCAGGCTCGGACTGGTCAAACTCTGGTTGTAGCGGCCATTGGTGGAGTGCACCTGTGGGTAGAAGATCTGTTTCTCTCTCTTTTTCTGTAATTCTGACTCTCAAATAAAATGAATACACTAAAAAAAAAATAACAAACACTGATGAGGATGTGGAGAAAGGGAAACTCATACACTGCTGATGAGAATGTAAAATTATACAACCACTATGCATAGTGAGTCTTTCAAAAATTAGAACTTGTAGTTCCACATGATTCCAGCAATCACAATAGTGCATTACATCCAAAAGACTTGCAATAATTGGATCAAAGAGATACCTGCTCCACAACAGCCAAGACATCGAACCAATCAAGATGCCTGTGGTCAGAAGGAATATAGAAAATGTGATACAAATATGAAAGGAATACTATTCAGACATTTAAAAGGATGAATCCTGACATGTGCAGCCAAGGCCATTATCCTAAGTAAGATAAGCCAGGTAGTGAAAGACAAATACAGCATGTACTAACTCATATGTGGAAGCTAAAAAACAAAAGGCAAAAAAGAAAAGACAGCAAAACGGAAGTCTAAGCACAGAATAACAGGAATAGTAATTAGCAGAGGCTGGCATGAGGAACAGAGGGAGTTTAGGCAACAGTTGCCCGATTAGAGTTAGAGCCAAGTAGGAACATTTTATTAGGAAATGTTGATAATCTGATTTGATTCGTGCACATGTATTTAAAGTATTGCTCTGTAGTCCATAAACACTTAAAATTGTTGCTAATATTTTTTAACTGTTTCTGAGCTTATTTGTATACTATTTGGTTACACCATCCTCCATTTTAAGCTTACCAAAAATCAGCCAATGTAGCAGTTCAGATTGGATCCATAATGAAGACAGATAAGAATTTCTGGCCCAGGTTCCCAATCTGTCCTTATTTACTCAAGCTTTTGGGCCCCCTTTGAGGCTATGACATTTAGAACAAGTCCTCACGTTTGTAGACTGCATATCTGATGGAGAAAAGCAGTGCAATTAGGAATTAATTCAAATCCCCACATCATCACTTCGTGAATTCTAGACAAGTGAACCAGTTTCACTGAGCCTGCTTTCTCTTGTCTGAAATGAAACTAAGGCTAAAAACCCAAGTCAAGAGAATATTGTGTTAACAAGATGGCATATGTGAAGAACAACTTCAGAGAACCAGCGCCCATTCACACTGGTATTCCCACCCTTTCTACGGTGGGACTGATGCTCTCTCACACTCCAGTAGCAGCCAAGGTCAGGTGCCACAAAGACACCACATCTCAGACAACAACTGTAAAAGCTGGCATCCAGGTAGGATCCAACCACACCTTTCCTGCTAGAGAATGATAACTACAACGTTCTATTACTTTGAACCTCTCCCTCTTGTTCCATGCTCTTTCAGTTTCCTTCAAATAAATCAATAAGCTAATTCTTTCCTAAACTTACAAACTTACCTAACCATGGGATTTATGGTTTTAATAAAATTTTCTGGATCCAATTCAGCCATGTCTCTTTTTATCTGCTAACCTCTACATAAAGAGCATTCCAAGCTTGCATCACACCACATGCAGCCTTCTGATCAATAATACCTCTGCCATTGCTTGCTGAAAACGGATTTATTTTTGCTTGATTTATTCATGCTATAGCAGGCAAAGCATAGGTCAGATAGAAGGGACCCAAATCAGCTTTCTACCATTTGTCAGTTTTGTGTCTCTGAGAAAGATATTGTGCCTCTTGGAGTCTCGACTTTTGCTCTCTAAATCTTGTAGCTTGTATATAGAATTCATCATTCATAGGAAATATCCCGTGTGAGGTAACATTGCTTCCATTAAATATGAAGCACAGAAATCTCTAGAAAACAAATTTTGAAGATTCTCTTTAATAAATCCCAGCAAATGTCATTAAGGCAGCAAATCTTTTCCAGGCAGGGGATGCAAAAGAAAAAAAAAACAACACATATTTTCAAGTGAAAGTAGCAGAGATGTCTGAAGGGGAAGGAATGATCAGAAATTCCATAGGAAGCATGGAGAAGACTAGTTGACACAGCATGTATCAGACACAGCCCACGTACCTAGACCTTGAGATCAGATGGCTCCATTCCTTACCTACCCCAAAGCTGGGGTTTAAAATGTGAGTCAGTGACTGGTAATAATTATCCCTGAGTTCAAGAAGATGGAAGGAGAAAGTACTTCAGCCAAAGGCAAGAGAAGTGATTAACGCCCTATACATACAGTTGCTACGATGAAGCATGTTTGGTCTTGCTTTATGTCCAAGTTGTTAGGCTCTCAGGAGAATGGAGTGCCTTTCAAGCTTCTCTCTATAAGATGCAGAGAGCAGATTTAACACACAACTCCTGCTGTCCCAACCCTGTCTTCGACCTCAGAGAGAAGAGTCGCGAGCCCAGAGCTTCTCCTTCTCAACCCATCAACTTGAGAAATGAGGATGTGAAGACTCTAGGGAAAGAGCCCACTGGGACAGGAGAGCAAGACCTCGACTAAAAGCATGGATTAAACCTGGATTAATTGCTGCATTTTCCTCTTACTCCCTCCAGGACAGATGCCCTCGGGTGGTGGTCCCTACATTTTGATGTTTGCAGAGTTGTCTGGGGAGCCTGTTAGAGATGCCTGTCCCAAATGCACCTCAGCAACATGCTCGTTCCTGACATTTTGGGCCATGTAATTCTGATACAACTAGTTCTAAGCACAAGCTATAGAAAGTTCCATTCTGGGTGCATGCCCTGTGGTGAAGCAGATGCAGCAGGCCACCTTAGCAGGATTTGGTTTTCCACTAGTTAGGTCATAGCCTAGAATGTGGAGAGAGATTTTTTCTGTCAAATGGAAATTCTTTTTTGGTGTGCTGCTTATAAAATAATTCCTCTTCATGACAAGAAGCCAAACGATACAGACATGAAAGTGATTGAAAAGTCAAAGTATCTCACCTTTCCATGATTCGCTTTTTGTGCTTTTAATCTGCTTTTGATTCATAAACATGCATGCTTACATAAGTGGAATTCACTCTATAGCTTTTGTTCTGTAGCAATTTATCGCCAACTTATGTTTCTATATCTATGTACATTAATATATACATATCTATATAAGTTTTTGTGTACCCTAAGACTTGTGGAAATTTAACTAGTGCTTCCATTTTGGAAGACAGTATGGGGATTCCTCAGAAATCTGAAAATAGAGGCCAGACACGGTAGCCTAGCAACTAACATCCTTGC